GTGGTAGTAGAAGTAGAAGTAGAAGTCGAAGCAGAAGTAGAAGTAGAAGTAGAAGTAGAAGTAGAAGTAGTAGTAGCAGTAGCAGTAGTAGCAGTAGTAGTACTGCAAATAGTAGTACAAGTAGTAGTACAAGTAGTAGTGCTAGTATGAGTCGAGTACCAGCACCCACACCCGAGTCCGTCGTCGTCGTCTCTGCGGCAACAGCAGAAAAACTTCAAAACCCGTCCTCTGGAAGGGAATCGATGTCCTGCACGTCACAACCGCTTGCCAATCCAACTGCAGCACAAACCCATGCTGAACCATATGGCAAGACTGCAGGCACAACTGCCAACTGACCGAAACTACTGCACGAATCATGCACAACGAGTCCAATGTACAAGCGACATAAAACCTTTTGGATGGAAAACCTTCGTACCTTTCTACATACTCTCGGGCTCTCACAGCTGCTTGCTCCGTGCAGCGCCTCTTCGGCAAGCCCGTCAAAGGGTTGACGGACTGCTCGTTGGTGAGATGACGTAGCAACAGATTCCTTCCGGTCATATTTGTTGCTGTTCTGGCCTGAAGACGTGTAGGAACCCAACCATTGACACAACAAGGGTCGGCCTCCACAGAAACGCCCTCACCTTGGCTGAAGGGTATCGATGCAGTTCTATCCCCACACATACTTCGCAAATATTGAGATTCTCCTTAAGGCGACCGGGTTACAAGGTGTTCTGCAGCAGCAAGCAAACCTCGGGTGGACTGGGTGGTCGAAGCTGGGAGCCGCTGGGGCTTGCGACCCGGCCACACTGCCATGACCGCAAAGGTTCGCGTCACTGAAGCACTCCTGACGTCAACAGCTGGTCATCTTCACTGTCCTGCGGAGACAGAGACGAAAGCTGCAAGGACCTTCATGCTCTTCGAGCATCTGAAGACAATTCCATGTGGAGGCAGGCTGCTATATCTGCACTAGGAGAACAACAGCACGGTCACTTGAAGCTGTCTGCCGGCGGACAGCTCGATTCACGTGTCATTTCCTTGCTACTTTCTATGCCGCCGAGCCAATGCTTTTCATGACGTCTCTGAGCGACCCAACGTTGGAGAGCAGGATGGAAGTCTCTTGGCCCAGCCTTTCTGGCAGCACATGGCAGCACTCCTCACTTTTCTTCCAACATCCAAGAACCGTGTTAACTTCAGAGGAGGTGGCTCAAACGACCTTGGGTCGTGGCCGAAGCAAGCACGCAGCGAAAAGCTTTTCTTGTCAACATTGTCAACTAAATCACACATACAAAACAAACTCAAAGACCAGGCACAACAAAACAAGCTCTTCAAAATGCCTGCTCTGTACAAGTTGGGCAGGTTGAATTCCAGCCAGCTGAACACTTGCAAAAAGTCCTTGCGGGACCTTCTGCCTGCTTTGCTTAACATCTTGAAGCGTCTGGGAATCGGCCTGCAAACCGAGCCAAGAGCGACGGATGCGATGTTGGATTTAAGTGTTCGATGGGAGACTTCAGCTCTGCGTCAGATGGCCGATCGCGGCTCTCTGCCCCAACAGCTTTGAAGCCTTGTCGCCACTGCCCTACAGCTGCGTCGCGCGGGGAGGGCGCTGGATGCCTGGGTTCACACGCCTGGCCCCAGGCGCCCCATGTGCCGCAGGCGCCGCAAGTGCTACTTGGTGCATGCTTCTTTCCGCGGTGAGGTCGCCCGCAGTTTCCGGGAGCAGAGGTTGCGTCCCATGCTCCTCCGCAAACGGTAGTCAGGTGAGTCAGGTTGTAGGTCAACAACACATCAGGTCTTGCCCGCGTCCGCTCAACACCACCCTGAACTTGCCTGATAAGTTCCCTGAACTCTGTTGAGGTCCTGGTTGCGGCTCAATTCACGCAGCTGGGCAGCCGTCTGCATCCACTCTACTTGGCCTTGTGACCTCTGCATCGCCTGCGAAAAAGCAACGCGGATTTCAAGCAGGAATGCATGTTGACAAGCTGTCGGATCTCGGACGAGGCCCTGGCATTCTGCGCTGCGCGTTGGACGAGTCGAGGAGCCGCACCATGCGCCCCACGTGCTGCACGAGGTGCTTGCTGTCCGCGTGCCTGTGGCCTTGCCCGGCCTCCGCGTGCCTGCGCACTTGGCCCATGCCGGTCCTGCCCTTTGTGACCGGGAGGGGAGATGATGGGGCGCAACACGTTCTGCGCCGGCGGCTCTTCAGCCTGACCGGGAAGGGCCGGAACTGCGCTGGGCAAGAGTGTCGTCTCCATGGGCTGGTCCTGGTCATCCCGAGGCGCGGCAGCGGCTGCTCTGGCCTTCACCACGATTCGCGTTGGGGTCGGCGTCTCGTGCTTCTGGGGCTTCGAAGCCTTCTGCTTCCCTCCACCCGCCACGGCAGCCACGGCGATCGGTCCGGCTCGCTCGGAGGATCTCTGTTCGGTGACACCTGGCATCTCGCTCTGCACGAGCTCTTTCTGCCTGCACTTTCCGACAAGGGAGAACAGTTTTTCTACAGGATTGTTGGCATTACGGACAGACAAGGAGCCGAACGTGCACAACATTGTGCGACCGATATGCAGGACTGGCCTGTCACGGCAAATTGCAAGGACAGAAGCGTGCTGGAGCACCCGGGTTTAATTAAGCACGCCTGCCATAGCAAGCATAAATCGAACAGGAAGCATCAGCAACTGCGCCTTTACTTTGATCCTTCGCTTCTTCCTGAGCCATTCCGATGCGAGCTGGATGCTATGCCGGCAGCGTCGAAAACAGCCCCGCACACGAAGGCGTTGCTGCACCAATGCTATTTTAACAAGTGTCCGTCGACTTGATTCATCGGATGATAAGCCAGATGGGCCCTGGCCCTCAGACGCTGGTTCTTCCGTCTGGCCCTCCGGACTCTCCTCACCAGGGCGCGGGCGGCTCCTGGGCCATTCGAGACCCACCCAACTCTCAAAAAGCGGAAGATGCTGAGAGCATCTGAGAGCACGACAGGCTCGCTCGGATATGCTGCAACAACCGCCGGCATCTTCGCCGAAGCCGGCGGACAGTTCGCACCTTGGTTGCGAGTAAGAAGCACTTCGCTTCCTAAGCTCGCGCATGTCCATGTTACGGACGGACAGCTTGTGGCGAGTCACCAGTCCGGGGAAGACCCTGTATACAAAAACTTCGATGCCCCTGGGCCGGCAAAGCATGCGAGCATCGAACAAAGGAGCCCTTCCTACCGGCAAGCACAGCTCTGGAGCCGGCCTCACCATGAAGTCAGTGAAGCGGGGAAACAAACGCACCAAGCCGGAGACCGCCAAGCAGATCCTCAGCATCGCATCATTGAGAAACCTATTTTCGACATCCTGAACAACCTGGAGTTCTTCTATCTACATAACTCCGACAAACATCGGACCAATCCCCCGGCCGATTTAAATAACTCAACTAACTGCAACCAATTCTTATTAACTAGATTAATTAAACCCCCCGGCCGATTTGAATAGTTCAGTTAATTTAACGAGTAGAATTGTGAAGCCAATTCTATTCATTAAAACTGATTTAAATATACATTGATTAATCTGCCTGGTATCCAGCACCAAAGGTTAAGGGAATCTGGAGATTTCCACCTAGTTCGAATTGGAGCCAACTCTATTCATTAAACCAATTAACTCCCCCGGCCCATTTTAATTAATTCAGTTAATTTACTGAATATAATTGAAACCAGTTCTACTTATTAAATTAATGTTTTTAGCACTCGCACTCGACGCTGCAGGCGAGGGTTGGAGAGGAACCTAGTTTCAGAGGGCAGAGCGGATTGGATCCAGGTAAGTATTAACTATTAACCCTACAGCGGCGAACAGCTAAGATGGTGTATCCATCACTTACCTCCACATTGTGAGACCTCAACACAACTCAAGCTCTCCAGCAGTGATTGCTCAACTGGTATGGCTTCCAGATGTCACTCACCACCACACCCCACTCTCAGGCCGCGCAGTAAGCTGTACTCTGAACCCAGGCACAGCTACTCCGCGACACCGCTTTTTGACTGGGCTTGACACAACCTGTACTCCGAACTCAGCTGTGCCTCAACATATAGCAGCTTATGCTGAAGGGTTGTTGCATCTAATGGATGTCAGTCTTCATCCCATCTGCCTCAGCACCTTGAGCATGTTGCATCTGTTCCAGAGTCCCAAACTCACCTTGTTGCAGTAATGCACGAGTTTCCGCTCAGCTTCCATTCAGCTGACCACTGTACTGGCTCGGGAACGTATGTGGACCATTTCCAAGCTTGGGGGAAGCTGTAGATTGACGCCCTGCGTCCCCGGCGTACACAGAGTAGTCGGAACTGTGCGTAGCAACTGCCACCTTTCGCTCCAAGCTTACAGCTGTAGGACCCATCCCTCCAAGCACGGGATAGGCCCTGCAGAGTACTACAGATCCTGCAAAGTCATGCTAGAAGTGCTGAGAAGAGGCGTGGGCGGATCCATGGCGTTACCCTCTCTACATGGAGCGTTTGTATTAAACTAATTACATCCCCGGCCGATTGAAATAATTCAATTAGTTTAAGTAATAGAATGGAAGCCAATTCTAGTGACATTAACTAAAGACTTTAGGTGTATTCAATTGCTTGGAATCCAGCACCAAAGGTTAAGGGAATCTGGAGATTTCCACCCACTTTCAATACTTCGATTTAAATCATTCAATGAGTGTAATTAAGAAAAATTGAAGCCAATTCTATTCGTTAAATGATTTAATCCCCCGGCCAGTTCAAATGATTCAATGATTTTGCTCAAAAGATTCGAAGCCAACCTTAGTAATTAGGTGAATTAAATCCACCGGCCGATTCAAATAATTCAACTGATTTAATTCATAGAATTGAAGCATATTAATCAAATTAAGCAAACAAGTTAAACTAGTTAACTAGTTAAATTAACTGAGGTAACTCATTAAATTACAGGTGGCTAAGTAGACCCTGAAGGCTTTTTGCCCATATATACGAATATGTTTACATATATATATATATATACATATATATATATATATGCTATATATATATATATGTGTATATACATATATGCGTGTGTGTGCGTGTACATGTGTGTGTACATATGTGTACATATATTGATACCTCTATCATCTATCTATCTATCCACCTATCTGCCTACCTACCCTACTACCTACCTACGTACCTACCTGCCGGCCTACCTACCTACCTTCCTACCCACCTACCTACCTATCTACCTTCCTATTTACCTACCCTACCTACCTACCTGCCTGCCTGCCTGCCTATCCATCTATCCATCTATCCATCTATCCATCTATCCATCTATCCATCTATCCATCTATCCATCTATCTATCTATCTATCTATCTATCTATCTATCTATCTATATATAGGTAATATATCTATACGTATACTTTTTCGTACATACGTGCCTACCTAGCTATCTATGTCTACCGGAGTCTACCGAACATGAGAACCTCGAAGACTGCTGAAGCGTGGCCCAGGCACAGCGAGGCGCCGAAGACTTCGAGGCTCGGGGGCTCCTGCCAAAGCCAGAGCTCCTCAAAGCCAAGGACCCGTCTTGGGTCCGAGGGTCGTTAGGGTTTAGGGTTTAGGTTTGTTGTACGCAGCAGTTTGGGCCTTGAAGCTCACTTGCGGGCCAATCACAATAGTCAGTGATTGTGCTGGTGTCGTTGACAGGGCTTTGGCTTTAAAGAGTACAGGG